TTGGGAGGGTTAGATGAAAAATAATCTATAATATGCAGTGCTACACAATTTAGAATGTTAATGAAAAAAAATCTAAAACTGATGATTGAATCTTGTACTTTAGCCACAGAAGAAATGAGCTCCCTGGGCTCTTTCCTTTTTGCAACCTCTGGAGTATCTTTCTGTCATCTGGAATATGAGAACAAATACTTCAAAGTGTAAGTCTGGGTGTGCAGTGCCTGTATATGAATTAAAATAGACTGAATGATAGAGGTGATTTAACAAGTAGATGATAGGCTTTGCTTTTCTGATCTTGTTCTTGACAAAATAGACCAAAACCAAGAAAAAGGTATAAAAGTAGCTAGAAATGAGGATGCTCTTCTGGCAAGATATACTTGATTCTACAGATTTCTGCCCCAAAGTTTAAAAATGGCAATGTCAATATTTTGAAGTGTTGATAGGTAAATCACCGTTATAGACCATAATGTTATGCTTTTTCCCATGACAGTTGTCCATGTCCCCCTATAAAAGACGAAAACTACAAACATGGTGCCATGACAAGATGCTCCTTTGATGTACAAAAACAACTGGGGCACTTGAACTTCATTTAGGATATATCTTATGTTAAAACCTCCTGGTAATTTGAAGCTGGACACCCTTGATTACTCAATTGCTTTCAATCATTTCTGAAAGGCTGATGTCCAGCATATGGTGACTGAATGAAAGATATTGAATTTGGTTGTCTCTTGGCAAAGTCTTCTTCTGACTTTATGTAAAAGTGGAAAGAGTGGGTGTATAACGCATTTATCTAATGATGACTCCAGGTAGAGAAAAAGATGTATCCAGGACTGTTATATGACCTATTTCTCAATTAATTGTTGTAATTCATTAAATAAAATATGTGGTGGAAAAAAAATATTTCTTCAAAAGTATCATTTTCTCTCTAAAAGCCTCTGCCTTGAACAAAGGAGTGCTCTTTGACAAGGGTTTTGTCACCTCAGAGGACATACCTTCAGTGTCATCATCTCACCTAAGAAGACAGCATTTGTTATGACCTTGGGATGGAAGCACTGCAGGTGGTTGTGATACAAGCTCATCACTAGGTTTGCTTTTCAGGATCAAAATGTCTATCTTTGATTTTACATACTGTCTGAAGTCTGGATCTAGCATGTGTTCAAAGAGAAGACTAGTCCCAAGGGGCTTGGTTATGAGACCACTTCCACACTATGTGGAGGCAGGAAACCTTTCGGATCACCCACCAAACCAGCTAGTGTCTTTTGATTGTGACAAAGACTGCAGACATCACCAAGTCAAGTTAAAGCCTGATGGGTTATTGTAATTAACAAGAACTCTAATGAAAACAAGGACAATCCTCGAGTTCATGGACACACCAATACTTCCTGCTCAAGCAAGAACGGATAAGGAGACCTCAGCCCCAGTGGAGATGACAAATGATTTTGCTGACATCATTCGGGTTAGTCTGGAGTAGCTTTTACAAAGCTGAAGCTACTGTAACACATTACAATGGGCGAGAGAGGTGGAAATGCTCTGCATAGGTAAAAAGTAAATACTGTTGAGCCATAAACTGACTTTCAAGGTTAATTGGACATTTAATTTTAGCTGCTGTCACAATAGATCAGTCATATCACACTGTAATCAAAGCTAACACCTTCCAGTAGGCTTGTTAACTGTTCTAACATGAGGCAATTGTTTCAGTAATAATGGCAAAGGTAAGGAATATTCCTTTGTGTATTCAGACATTTACAGCAGCAGCACCATCTGTCCCCTGGAACCGTGAGCTGTACTGTTTGTGAAGGAAAAACCTGATTTTTTTGTTTATTTACTTGTAGCACCAATATAGAAGTCTGGCTGAATCAAAGTGATTTGTGGAAAAAGGTCAAAAATGAAGAGCTGCTTGGTCCAGATGATGACAATAAGAAACCTTATGAATAAAACCATTATTTGCAAAAGTATGTGGTTGTATTTTTACATTTAAATATGTCATATTCAAGTATATAGAAAGATAAGCCTAACAATTTCTCAGACAGAATAGAGGATCTGAGGATAAAAAAATTTACTCCAGAGATCTGGCTTCAAGCAGGACTGAAACAAAACTTCACTCATAGCTTTGTTATACAACAGGAGGCTCACGTTTTGGTCCAAGAGGCACAACAGAAAAGAGAAACTACATTCCTTTTAGCATTTCCTCTGTATAGCTCTGCCCAGGAGTACACTGCAGTGAACATCTTCTGACAGAGATTTCCAGGGCTCTGAAAATCTGTACGTTCAACATATCACTGATACTAAGACAACAGCAGATTTGTCAGCCCATCTCTAAGTCTTTTCATGTCTTTCTCACTTCTTACCATGATTGGAAGGCTTCCATTATTTCCTTTGGCCTGACTTGTTTTACCTACTAACATAAGAAATGTTCTGGATCCTTCAGACACACCAAAATGACAGTGAAGCATTTTTCTTTTGGTTCTTTTGGGCTATTTCTCATGTGTTCATGTGATGGTTGGTGAATCTTCTTTGGGGGCTGTAGCAATGCCTGAAAGCTTCAGAGATCCTCAGGCTCCTGGAGTCATTCAATTTCTCTGAAACAAGATATTATTCTGGATTACTCCAAATTAATTTCCTCAGTCATCCCTTGCACAAGTAGTAAAGAGTAAAATAAGTACCCTGTCTCCAGAGCATGAAGCATGAATTAAGCACTTCATTCCTTACCAGAACTTGTTTAAGTGCTAGTAAAGACTGAGTTTTAGCCATGTTACAATGACAAAAGATAATGATCTTGTCTAATTATTTTATTAATAATATTTAAATTATTTTATTAATATTTATTATTTATTACCATTATTTTATTATTTTTATGTATTAAAGCTGGACTTGTGTTGAGGCCCTCCTGGACATATTTTGTTGTGTCCATAAGTACTAGGTTTCTGCTAACCTCTAGTCACAAATGAAAACTTTCTTTGTCTGGGTTTGTAAGAGGGATAAGAAATAGACACACTTAAAGGAAAGACTGAGAAATTAAATGGCAAATATGAAGCTAAGGAAAAGTATAGAGGTGAAATGAGAGGCAAAAGAAGTTTTCCTGAAGTTATAATAATTACTAAAAATCCATTTTTTAACATCTTACAAATGTAAATATTGTATTCCAGTGATTTTTGATTCCAGCATCATTTTCCCAATGCCTGTATGTACTATAAAATAAAGGTACAACATTGTCTATGCTGTATTCAGTCTTTTTTTCAAGGGAGACTCCTCTAAAGGATGATGCTTGACAGCGAAACTTGGCCCAAAGACTAAGGAACCAATCAGACAACAGTTTCCAGGAGATCTGAAAGAGATCTGAGTTTGTCTGAAGATGCTTTATTTTCTTGACAAAAAAAATGATATTTATTAACAAAAGCAGGAACTCTTCATAAATACTGTTCTGCTCATGACCCTATTATCAAGGTGTTACATTGACAGACGTATATGCCCTTCATCTGTGTATATCTAGGTCTTGTAAAGATAGTTCAACAGTTGTTAAGGCAATTGGAATAAAATTACTGTAATGAAGTGGAAATATGGTCTGGAGAAAAAAAAAATAAAGAAGAAACAAAACAAAAATCCCACACCCAATAAACCCCACCAGCGGAGGAGAAGGAAATCATAGAAGACACAATTGGGTGACTAAGATTGAAGAAGGAAGAAAGAAAATGCAATGGTGGAAAAAGGAAGTACTGATCTGAATTTAACAAGACCATGTTGCTACATAGCCATGACAGAGGAATAGATACACTTTACATGCCAATGCCTGAAGGGCTAAGGACTACCTTAGCCCCCTTCAAAACTGCATGCCTGAAACCAGAAAACAAAAAGCTACAAAGCAGTTTTGCTCTATTAACTCATGATTCAGGTGTTCTGTACATCAACACGTTCCTCCTTCCCTCAGGCTGTTTTCTTTGGCAGCTGCTCAGCTTTTCCATTAAGATTTGTGCATTATTGCACAGGCTGCCGATAAGTTGTTGCATACATGGCTGGATTTGCCAGCTACTGCTTGAATCTTCTGGCAATTTCCTGATAGGTAGGAATTAATTCTCCAAAGGAGGGAAAAATATGTGGTTTATAAATATATCTTCTATTACTCAGCTGACAAGAAGCTTAAACAAGGACGATATTTTTCTACTTTCTTCTGCACAAACACATTGCCCAGCTTTTTCACTTTCTTCACTATTAGTAGATTCTTTTCTCAATATAGCTGCAGCTGAACTCTGTTGGATGAATGATGCCAGACCAACAGTTTTCTTGATAGTTATAGAGCAGCTCAGGTTCCTTTGTTGCACCAGAAACATCAAATTTCTCCAAGTGTAAAACAGCAATTCTCCTTTAGAGATAATATGGAAAAGCTCTACTTGACCACACACAGGGAAGGGACAGAGACCAAGAATCAAACTGTGAGCAATCCAACCCAGAGACTCCAACTCTGTCTCACACATGAGGTTTATGCCTTGTGGCAAAACCTCCCATAAACCATCCTTCCAGAAGCTGGCTAGTCCCTTCCTCAGGCAGACACAGTGTGCTCTGCTGTAGACCTTATATCTCCTGAGATGTAAGAATTACTGCCCTGGGAGATGGCAAAGTGCTTCCCTCTGAGACATCTGCTACCTCCAATACACATGACTCTAAAATAGTACATCTTTGTTGACCCATGCCAGACTGGTTGGAAATTTTGTAACTAAGAACACTCCTAAACTTGTAAACTCTACTCCCCTTTGCAACAGCAGACTGAGCAAAAAGACTTTCATGCTCCAAGTGAGCCTTTAAGGAAAACTAAACAGAAATCTGAGCAAGCCTCACTCTCTAATCAACAGGTAGACTTCCTCATGAAGCTCTAGAAGGCCTGATTAAAAGCAGATGTGGGTAATCTTAATGAGGGAAAAGATATAGCTGCCAGGAGAATAGAAAGTTCCATGAAGATCCCTTGATTCTGTAGTAGACCTTCATAGAGGGTTAATAGATTTGGGCAGGCAGCAAGCTATGGTTTTATGCTGCATTTTATTAATCATAAGAACTGTGTGTTGTACTGCAGTATGAGCAGAGAGAATTTGTTAAAGTGCAGCCCTCCCTAGCTGCATGGCTCTAAAATTGAAACACAGTCTTGTAATCACTTTGAGAGACTTAGAAAGCACTTATATTCCAGATATCCATGAGGTTGCAAGATACTTTTTTTCAGTTACAGTATCTCCTTGAAAAATTGGAGTGTAGAAGAGAAGGATTCTGCCAAGCAAACACTCTGAAAGCAAACCATGATGAGGGGGGTAGTTTTATTCTCCTCAAGTGGTGATGCCTGTGGGTCTCTGCCTGCTAAGGGGCTGAGGGTTGAAGGGAGGAGACGTTCACTTCAGACTCTTCTGGCATGGAAATGACAGTGAAGATTCCAAAGGTAATTAAAATTTATCTTCAGCTACTGAAAAAAAAACCCACACAGGGAATGCCTTAATTGGCAGCACTGTGGAACAGAATGTTTGTATTTACAAAAGAAAAGAGCAGTCCACACGTCAGTAATGGAAGGAGGTTCAAAAAGCATGAGTGGTAAAAACAATCAAGCTCTGAGACTCTCTAGTTAGAAGCTTCCCTAAGCAGCTTATTGCAGTGAATTCACCTGCTTTTGAACTCCCAAGTCCTAACAAAGCTCTCTAGAACTAGAGAGGATACAGTGTGGACATGTCAATTCCATAGGTTGCATGTACATGTATGAATTAACATTTCTTCAGGTGCCTAACAGGAGTGTCTCAGATGTAGCTGTAGATCACAAAAAGTTCGTAGACCATAGAACACTACTCTTGCATTTGGCTGATCTGTTTATCTGTTTTCACATCAGAAAGCCACCTGAACATGTCCTCATTATGTTTATCCTTAACAAAATTCTTATAAAGCAAAATGATACTTCAACCCATATATCAGACTAGGTATTTCTGAGAGTTACGAATCACTTTTCCATCTTGAGTATACTTTCCATGGCTTTGGTCACTAAAATGTCTTTGTTCAAACTGCTTCACTATTAAGAGGTGACATGACATGGTTATGAAATTTTTCTCAAAATATATTTTTCTTTCAAAATGCAGCTTTATTGAATCTGTACTTTTGGCAAAGAAAGTTAGTTTGCATTAATCTTTAAGCTAAAAATGGGCCGATGTTGTCCAAAAACTTGCTTTGACACTCACGAAAGGAAGAAAAAAGTGTTCCAATTGTAAGTGCTTTTATATTTGAACATTAAGCTAATTTTAGTCAAGTCTTTTTTTTTTTTTTTTTTGAAGTTAACATTAAAATTAATTATTTTATGATTTTCAGTATGAACCTTTTCAGGGGACCCTCACAGAACACATCTCAATGCGACCAATTTGGGGGAAGATTTGTGGTTTGCATTTTTCAGGTTTAATGTGGAATTTTTAAAATAGCATTTTGAGTTTGTTTTTTTCACATTTGAGATTTTCTTTTCCTGATTCAATTTTCCCTGCCCTGTTCACCTGGGAGATGAATAAATAAACAAAAAAGTTTTGCTATTACAAAATTTGTCCTGATGATCAATGTTTTTTTAAATGGTCTTGACACAGCACAGCCTCATAGATATGCAAAGCTGAGAATAATTTTACCTATTCAGATATGCATTTAAATCCCAGTTTCAGTGGTTTCTTTTTCAAGGTAGAATATACTTCAGAAAACCTTGAGGAAAAGTAATGGCCTCAGTGGTAAACAGCTTTATGCACCATGTAGTCCAAATTTGTAAATAATCTTAGAAGACTCTTTTTCATTGAATAAGGCACGTATCTATCAACTTTGGGGTTTTTGTGAATTCATCAAAGGCAGCATGAATTCAAAAATATACATAGGAAAGCTGTCCTTTTCCTTAAGGGTAATAAGTCTCTAGAAATACTGTAAACAAGCAATATCACCTGAAATAAAGCCTCCTTGAAGCTGGAAAGAAGCTGTTATGAAAACATGTGCTGATCCAGAACACGTCTGTGCTGAAGCAAAGTAGGTATTGTTCCCCAGTTTGAACAGCGGGGAGAATTTAAGGAAGACCCTGGAAATGAGCCCAAGCTAACTTTATAAGTGATTAAGTGATAACAATTCAAAATGAATTCTAGTCTGCATAATTTAGGCATGTAATTTACCCACTTCTTTTTGGTACTCAGTGAGCAGTTCTTCTAATGTAAGCACTTGAATTTCCCCATCACATCAACAGCAGTAGGTGTTCTTGAAGACCTCCCGGGTGATATTCTCTACTGAAATGAAGCCTTTAGACTTAGGCTTTTTCATCTGAAGACTGTTTCAACAAGTGCTACTGCTAGGCAGAGTGGTTCTAGTCGTTACTGTGTTTTAATGACCTGTGAAGGTACAACCACAAGATAGCCACAACCTGGATCTAGTGTTCAGGGCTTCTGCAGTGTGTCTGCAAGGGTTGTCCTCAGATCACACCAGCTAGCAGAGCATTTTCTGTAGAATTTGTTTAAGCAGATAAAAAAGCAGTTTGTTGGCTGATACTTATCTGCCATGCAATACAGCTCATTTGCTCTAACACAGACACGTACACCTCCCAACTGTGTTTACACAGCATCTAATTTCTACTTGCGGCTGCTGCTGTTTATAAGGAGAACCGAGCAATTGTTCCTAACAATTCTCTAAAAATAAATGTGCTGCCTTTACTGGGATCATTAGAATTCTAAATAGTGCATTTCATGATCATTTATAATGCAATAGCCTTAATGAACAGTGCCAAATCGGTCTTAGTATTCTTGAACCACCCATTGCTCAGTTCCTCTCTCTCTTTCCATTGCCTTTATAGAAAGAATAACAATAAATCATTTTATATATAGAAAACTTCTTTTTATCCAGAATTAACCAAAAGGATTAACAGCCCTCTACCCAGTCCTCAAACCCTCAGCTTAGAAAAAGAAAACATCAACCATAACAGGAATTGGACCAATTTCTGGAGCAGGGATTATCTCTATTTATTTTTGACTGCAGATATTACAGCAGAGTAGACTAGGATATAAAATATTCTGGGTCACAACCAGAACTGCAGAACAGGATTTGGTCAGACATGTAGCATAAATCTTTATTCTTGAAAAAAACTGACATGAGATTTTAATGACATGAGTCAAAAAAGCCTTTTGGCATTTCTGAAAGGTAATAGGCTCAAAAGAGGTGTCCCTAATGGAAGCCTTCAGATGTTGAGTCAGTATGGATCTGTAGGTTAAACTCTCCTCCAAGGCTCAACAGGACCACTTATTTCTATAGCGAGGGACTCCATCCTAGTCCTCTGACTAGCTCTGTGATAATGGTTACATACTTTCCTGTGTATTTGATGTGAGCTTGTTTTTCACTAGAGTTAAAGCAATTGAATCCAGTGCTCTGAGTGTTGCTTAAAAGGGACACTGGCTGAGAGGAATGAATGGCTGAAAGATATTGATGAACAGTGCTGTATGGCACAGTGCTTAATAAAAATGAGTCACACCTTGGCAGCTCTCAGGAATGACCCCACAAATAATTAGGAAATTAAACTTACTGGAAGAGAATCTGGTGCAGAGACAATTTTTATTTTTCTTCTTTCAAATTCAAGTGTCTTTATCAACAACAACAAAACTTTCTCCCCCAAAAAAACCAAAATCTCACAGTTAAGCACTCTAGGAACTACACAGCACTCTGGGCAATGATCTTTTTCTTATTTGGTATTTACTATTTGCCTTTCTAGAAGTGTCAGGGTTAGGACTCATTTGTTTGGTATAGGACATCCATCATCTTTTCCAAGTTCACTTAGACTACCAAACTGAATGTCCTGTGAAGAAGAGCTTATTTTTAAAATCTCTTAAAATACAAGGTTCTATGTTTTTTCCTCATTTTATAGTGAATTTTGTTTTGGCAAGGTAGTTTAAGAAGTTTACAACCATTTACAAAGTAAGGTTACACTTGACAAATAAGTTCTGTAGGTAAAAAAATGAAAAAGTTACAAGGATTTTGAATCCTAGTGCTGACATTTGTTGAAAAGATTTCTTTTTTTTAACTTCCAGCATGTTTTATTTTTTCTTTTCAGTGTTTTGCTTCAGAATGACATATATATTTTTGAGAAGTTAAAGCTGAACTACATCAAAATTAAAAGTCTAAATTAAAGCTGAAAACCATGACATAGTTGAAATGAAACATGACATCGTTGTGCTATTTGAAAGAAAGCTCTCAGGTTGGCATAGAAAAGGTAGTTTTCTCTCTCATAGACACACTATTTGTTTTAACTCAACTATAAGTAATTGTTGCTGCTCAATTTTCCAGTTGGATGCCAAATCAAAATGACATCTGTTCTGCATGTCAGTTTAATCCAGATGATCCATATCTTGAATGGGTGAATTTGTGAAGAGAAGAATTTCTAATCCTTACCAGATTTCAACAGAAAACAAAACAGTAGAGGATAAGAGATGCTGAGAATTAGCTGTGTCTAATGGTGTAAAACCCCAGTAGAGTAATGAGATTCCACTGCATGCTGCATTATTGTTGAAGACTATAAAGGACAAGATAGCATTGACATAAAACATATGTTATTGATATTTGGTCTGTGATGGTAACAGAGGAGCTGGAAATGAGCATTGGCTCAGCACATTGTTTCATACTACCTTAATTATATCCTGCCTGATTGCAATATATAGCTTGGTGAAATTTAGCTAACCTCCATCTACTTAAAAGCAGAAGTACCAGAAATATCAATGTGTATGAAGCATACACATCATCATTACTAATATTCATCTGGCAATCCTAAAAATGAAAACATAAAAAAAAAAATGTTTGCAGAAATAATTTGTAGCTAATACAAATGGGTGTGGAGGAAAAGTACTTAATAAACAAGTTCTAATGGCATTTTTTTTTATTTTTATTCAGACTGAAAGGATCATGGAAAGTTTAAATAGGTGCCTCTTGGTATATGTGCAAATACAGAGGAAGGGTTCACACCTTCCTATAGTACAGAGAAGACTTTCATAAACATGTAAGTTAAAACAGTTACTTATGTATATATAACATTGGTTATCATAAAACAACAGTAAAGCAGTTTAAAAATAAACAGCAACAGACAACCAGAAGCAGTTAACATTTCATGAGTGATGGAAGAAACACAAGACTGTCTTCAAATTTTGGTAGCTGGTGAGACAACCTCCACAGCTGCCAACTCTTCCATTCATCCTGGTATCACAGCCTTTTCAATCTTGCATATTCATTCTTATATTCTCATGAAATATTACTTGCCTAGTTTTAGAGTCACATGTATAAATGTAGGCTTTTCTTAGTAGTTTCCAGTTCCATTAAATGTGGGCTGGTTTTTCCTCTGTGACAGAAATAGACATTTAGAAGTCAAGGATGTGGTGGATGATGGTTTGAACTGTATTCTCACCATGGTTATAACAGTGACTTCTGGAGTAAAGGTCAAGATTCCACATGTAGTGCACCAGGAGGAGAACAGATGTATCCCCCTTTGCACCCCTCCACACTCTTCAAAGAGGCATGCACAATATATAGGAAGCAAATCCATCATTCCTGGTGAGCTACTCCAGAGGCAATGATAGTTCTGTTGAATGAGGCAGAAAAGTCCTGGAAGGTAACTGAGTTAAGGTAGCTGTATGAAAAGCTAAGCTTGCAATACAGTGACATAAAGAACTGCAAAGAGTAATTACTGGAAGGGGAACTCAATTAACTGGAACAAGCAACTGATTGTGCAATTAAGAAAAACCCTGTAAATCATTACAAACCCCTTGTCATACAGCATTTCTCCACAGTCCTGCTGTAGTGGCCCTGTTCTATCAGCTAAGAGTTAGGGCTAAGCTACAATCATGTTTTCATTGCTGCATTATGAACCACTAATGATGATCACTTGTGTATTTTTCCTAATTACCTAGAACAATAATGCACATCTCTAATCCTCCATTTTACTAATGTTTTGGCGGATGAGAAAGTACAGGAAGTCATACAGAATCATACAGCAGTCCATATACTACACTCAAGTTTGCAGGTTTGCATTTGTACCTTTCTTACAAAAGACCAGCTATCCAAGGGAAGGTACAATGTTCTTTTCTTATCAGATTATTGAGCCAGAATGGAACAAATGGTTATATTTTGAGTTTCAAATTCGCTCAGACATCATTGGGTGGAAAACTAGATTAGCACTTCATTGATTATAAGGTATGTTTCTATTTAGAATAGATAGGAGAAAGAATGAAATATCTCATTTCACTATTATTCATAAAGAGAATAATAGAGAAAAAAGAGATCGTTAGAACAAAGCAGAATAGTGAGAATATGTGAGAACAAGAGGACATACAAACTAAGTTGGCAGGACTGTCTGGAGATAAGATTCCTTGAAACTTCACCTTTATGAGCTTGCTTGCAATTGTTTCGCTAATTCTTTGTGATGAAATTGCAGTGTTGGACTCCTCCTCTGGCTGAGTATATTGGTTTTATTTATTCTCTAAAATTTCAGCAAAACTGGTTGCACTGTTTATGAGACTTAGATAAGAGGATAAGAGTGGGAAGTAAAATGTTTGTGCTGCATTTTGCCATAGCTTTTCCGGCTAACTGAAAACTGTTAACTTAAAAAAAAAAAAAATCCTCCTATTGTTCATCTGTGAATTTCCTAAGGGGTTTGGTTTTGTTTTTGTTTCAATCTTTATACATCAGGAGAACTTGGTTCCAAAGGCAGAACCTACTTACTCAGAAAGACCATGCCCTCATGGTGGTTAGGCCACCACTGTCACCTGGAAAAAAGAAGCCCTTTTCTTCAACTTCATTTCTGCCGTACTGAGGTTCATAAGCAACTTCTTTCTGAAAGTGCAGCCACTGATAGGTCCTCCGGCACTGACTGCTGCTAGTGAGAAGTGCCATACTGACTGCTCTGAAGAAATGCCATCTTTTAATCTACTGAACAGTACGGTCAGCTGTTTCTTACACTGCCCCATGCTAAATGCATTTTTAAACAATGTTGGCAAAAATGAGCTCTAAGGGAAATATGCCTTCTGTGGCCCATTGGTCCTTGGCCTGGGCTTAGAGCAAATACTAACAAGGCTGATCATTAGTGACAATTCTGGTGACAGTACTTATGATAGAAACATCTGGCTGGATGCTCTGAACTGGGTGCAGACCCACCAGCCTGACCCACCATTTGCTAGTGTGCAAATGGCTTTCTATTTCAGAGACTGCAGGATCATTTATCTTCATTAAGACACAGTTCCTAAAACCAATAATTAATGACAACTAGTCTGGAAATGGCTGTGCAGAAAAGGAAGTACTAAGGGAACAAACATATTCTGAGAAAGCCGCAGGCTGGAGGAAAAGAGACACGAAAATGTTTTATTTTCTGAAAGTATTTGGGATCCTGTGAGGACATTTCAGTGTGCACTGAACCACTGGTATTTCCTGACCCAAGTGAGAAAGACCACTGGCTGTGTGAAACTGTCTGAACGTTTGCAAGTGGACGCAGCTGGCAGGGGGCAAGCTCAGCACCTTTCCTGGCACCCCAGACATGGGCTGCACTGACCACTTGTTGCCTGTCCCTTGTCATTGTCAATAAGTAACAGAGCCACGGTCGGAATTTATAATCTACAAGAGGAATGGGAAGCAGGTCTTCATGTGAAGTGCAGACAAGGACTTTTTCTTTTCCTTTTCTTCTGAGCATTTCTGTGCACCCAGTATTACATCTCAGCCCAGCCTTGCAGTACTGATCCAGTCCACTTTCCTGAGCTACCTGTATTAAATTTTCGCTGTTCCTCTAAGCAGGGTACTGCTTCCCTACATACTACATTGGTATTCAGTATTTGTGAAGAAAGCATACAAGGCACAGCCATGAGATGGTTGTCACCAGTTTCCCAGAAAGAAAACTTCAGTAAGAAAAAGTTAACAGCTTCCATGGTACCCTGCTTCCCTCAGCATCACAAGCGTGTTAGACAGTCTGCCCTAAAAACCTCCATGACCACAGAAAGAAAGATGATTTGTAAAATCTGTGTTTTAGGGTAAGAGTGAAGGTGTTTTCTATTTACTCTTGTATTATGCTAATTCACATAAAGATTTGAGAATTGACCACTAATTTTATAAAATGTTGATCGGAATTGCTGATGGATTTTGTCCAGTCTGTACAGAGAGGATTTTTCATAATTTCTAACCATCATTCAGTCCCACCACTAAAAATGCACATTCACCCCCTGTGCCCATTGCTTAACTGATCTCTGTACACTACTTCATAGCCCTTTTGTAAAAACAACTTGTATCCAAATGAAGGAAAACCTCTGACATTCTCCTTTGTCCTGTTCTGCAAAGAATAGCACATAAATCCTTCTCCTCATAGCTATGAAGAAGTTTTAACTTTAAAATGAGAAGATTCCTCTATCAGCAAAGCACAGAAAGGTTCTGGACAATCTTCCAACTGGACTAGTGGAGAGAAAGATCTAACTCATTTAAAATAGCCTTGACAAGTTTATAATGAGCTTGTACAAGGAGGCAACCGCAGGTCACAGAGGACTGGACTTGATCCAAAAAAATTTGTTTTGGTTCCAAGTTTTAAATATGCTGAAGGCTGTATTATTGAAATTTAAGAAGGTGTGAAAACCTTTTCTTTTGGTGTTTTGGTGGTTTTAAAAGTTGAGCAGCGTCCTGTACTTACTGAGAAAAAGTACAAGTATGTGAGAGGAGAAGAAGCAGAAACAAAAATTACGAGAAAGCAAAGAAATGAGATTTAGGCTCATTCAGAGGCCTCTATTTTTTATGTTAAGGGTAACATGCATTGACCAATGATTCACAGGCTACTGGTGGTCTGCAAAACCATTCTACATGGCTCACAACTGCTCAAAGAAACAGTGTCACCTTCCTATAGCTAAAATTTAGCAGTAACTGTGCATGACTATGAGAAAGGTAAAGGTTTGTCAGGGGTCTGTGATTCCAAAGGCTTGTAACTCAGTTAAACTGCTTTCATAAATATGGTCATTTGTACTTAACATTTAGGATGAATGAAGAGATATGTAAAGGACACACAGGAGTGAAGCAATAAAATCCAGAAAAGAACCAGCTCATCCATGCTGCAGTGTTTGGTAATGTATAGAAAGGCATAAGGCACGGCTGCCAGACTTTCAGAGGGCTGGCTGGGCTAGGTAACCTCCAAGGGAAGTGTTGATGATGTTTGCCACTCTTTTCTGTTACTGCTTGGAAGCAGTTACAAGGACATTTGTGGGTGGATGGACAGGGAAGTGTGGAAGATGTAGTGCAGGAAGCAGAGTCCTGAGATTACAAGCAGCGGCAAGAGAGGGGTGACACAAAAGTAAAAAAAAAAAAAAAAAAAGATAAAAAAAGGTGACTCTCTTAGCAGGAACCAAGTCTGATAGCTGAAGAAGTTCAGATGTTCAGCACACGTTTCTGGACACTTGGACAGGAAGGTTCGTGCATGGTGGTTCCCTGTCCCGATAGATGATCACCCTGCAGTGCCAGAGTTTCATGTGATCATCCTCACATGGGCTCACGCAGAGTTCCCACCACCTCAGAACATCTCACTCTGAAGGGAGAGGGAAAGTCCCCTCCCTATGTGCTGAGCCTGAGTGATCACCACCTGAAGTGATTGCAGTGACTTTTACTATTTGCAACAGTATATTGATAAAGGCTGACGGGTAGCTGTGGTATCACCATCTTCACACACCAGTAAGTAAAAGTGATGGAATTCAGTTAAGACATTTGGTATCTGATGGACAGAAGCCACCAATCCTATTCAAAGCTGTCCCATACAAAAGAAAGGGTGCCCAATTTTCAGCCAACTGACCCTGCATAAATAAATTTCCTTTATATATGTGTTGACTACCAGTCATTGTGAACATCCAATGAAAGCTCGTGGGCACAACCACAGTACTAATAAGTTCTTTGCTATAAAATGAGGTTGCTATTCATTCCTGAACAAAAATCCAGCACAGTCCTGTGAACTTCAGCTTGTTTCTCCAGTGAGCATCAAATATCAGAATCTTGTCATTGGTCCTCTGCTTGTTAGGAGCAAAACACTTAAATAGCAAGAAGCAGGAAATCTGCACGAATGCTCTCCATTTCAGGAGGCTATGAAACAGATGGCTTGGTTATAGCATCGTTTCACTCTGCAATAAAGGTTTTACTTTAATTCTGTAAGTACAGCTCATCTATCTCAGCCAAGGGGATCCTAGAGGCTTTGTCATTTTTGCGTGTCTGTTTGGGGGCAAGACAGAAAAGTCGTTTTCTTGCCATGGAAAATAAATGTGCTTCAGTACAGCAAAACAAGAAGAAAAAAAAAAAAAGATGCATTTTAACCAAGGAAACAATGATTTTTCATGCAGGAGAGGAAGCAAAACATAAAATTATGGTATATGGGGAAACAGGGCAGGCAGAGCCCCATCTTGTGGCAGAAAGTTCAATTCATGTTCCTCTGGCTGTGCATGAGTCACCATGTCCCAGTGACAATGTTCTGGGACATTGCTCTGTGCAGCTGGCCTTTAAATATTTAAATGTATTGGACTACAAGAAAGATGTCTGTTCTTTGCCAAGCAGCTGCCTATAAACAGCTTTCTAAATTGCAAGTCTAGACTGCACTAGTCTAATCCATAAGAGAACAGGAGGAATTGTGTAATTAACTTTTCCCTTTCTCACAGAAAAGAACCCCTTTGAGCTGGAAAGACAGGGATTGGTCTGAGTCTAGAAAGGAACTGAAGTGACACTGAGCATTTCTGGTGTTCATTTGTTTAATCTACGTGTTTGTTGTGGTCTGGGGCAGGAATACAGCTACATGATGACTGCTGGCTGCTCTCTTGCTAAAGGTAATTTCTCCAGCTCTCCCTTGCACCCAAACCAGCTATCAAAGTATATGTTTCTCCAGGCAATTTCATATTCCAGAACAGTGACCCCACTCAGCTAGCTGCAGGCAGAAAGAAGACTGTCAGTCAGTGACTAGGAACTGCTGTTTTGGGACTTTCACAGTCCCAGAGCTGCAGGAGTACAATGTAGAAATATCATTTATTTGTGCCCAGGTCACCTCTCCTACGATTTCCTTCTGTAAATACACCCCAAATCATCTACTGAATGTTGAGGAGGACAGAAGCAAAGAAGTTACAGCTAGGAATGTATCAGTCATATCTATGGGACTGTGTGAAAGACATATGCGGTGGGTTGACTCTGGCTGGGTTCCAGGTGTCCACGAAAGCCGCTCTATCACTTCCCTCCTTGACTGGATGAGGAAGGAGAAAATATACTGAAAGGTTATTGTGTCAAGATAAAGACAGAGATCACTCACCAGTTACCATCATGGGCAAAACAGACTCGACTTGGGGAAATTAGTTTATTTTATTACCAGTCAAATCAGAACAGGTTAATGAGAAATAAAACCAAATCCTGAAACACCTTCCCCCGACTCCTACTTCTTCCTCCAGAAGACAGTCAGCTATGAACTTCTCCAACGTGAGTCCTTCCCACGGGCTGCAGTTCTTCACTAATTGTTCCAGCATGGGTCTCTCCTGTGGGGTGCTGTCTTTCAGGAACAGACTGTTACAGTGTGGCTACCACACAGGGTGACAAGTCTTGCCAGCAAACCTGCTCCAGCATTGGCTATTCATGGGATCACAACCTCTTTTAGGCACATCCACCTCATCTAGTGTGGGTTCCTCCACATGCTGCAGGTGGAAATCTGCTCCACCATGGTTCTCCATGGGCTGCAGGGGCACAGCCTGACTCACCATGGTCTTCACCATGGGCTGAAAAGGAATCTCTGCTCTGGAACCTGGAGCACCTCCTTCCCCTCCTTCTGCACTGACCTGGGTGTCTTCAGAGCTGTTGCTCTCACTTATTCTCACTCCTCTCTCCTGTTGAAGTTGCGCTGTTTCCCCCCCCCCCCTTCTTAAATATTTTATCATAGAGGTGCGTGGTACTACCATTATGGGTGAGCTCGGCCTTGGTCTGCGGCGGTCTGTGTTGGAGTCAGAAGGTATTGTCTCTGTTGGACATAGGGGAAGCTTCTAGAAGCTTCTCACAGAAGCCACCCCTGTAGCCCCCCACTACCAGAACCTTGATACATAAACCCAACACAAGACCAGAGCTGCATTCACCTTTTTTTCTAACAAAGCTCCAGCTCTTTAAGAGATTTTGGCACATGGCACTGATTCCAACAGGAGTTGAACTTTGCAATGAAAATTAGGTTCCTAAATACCATTAAGTTCTGAGGTTTCATGACTGGGGACTTTCCAGACACAAAGATGGATTTGTCTGAGTACAGCTTACCTCTGGAAGAGTGTGCTTTAGGTCTCCAAAAAAGATTGGAAATCATTACAAAGTTCTCTCCTGAGCCTTGTCTTGCTTTCTTATCTCTGTTAATGAGCATTTATACATGGAGATCACATTCTTTCATGTCATTTTGTTACCTTTGCATCTAACAATGAAGTAGAATGAGTACAGAAATAGTGCAAAGTTTTTGCATACTCATAAGTTTATTTGAAACTTCTGTTGAATCGTATGTTTCATCATGAACTTGGGCTAAACCCTGTAGATTACCCGAGTTTGTCCAGGTGTCCTTGAAAAGAACTTCCCTGAAAACAGATCAGTTAACCATTTTGTCCATTTATATTTCTAGCTCAGTGTCTGTGGTGGATCATTTCTGCTTTACTGTGAGCTGAAGGTGCAGTAAAGGGCTGACCAGAATCCCTCACCTCCCATGGAGACCTGTGCTTGGCATAGCTGTGGCAACAGGTCACTGGTTATCAGTCTCTGCCATGTGGCTTTTTGATGTTCTCAGTTCAATTCCTTACAGGTGGGCATTTGCATCATGAAGTTGAATGGCGACTTATCAATGAACTAGCAAATAGGATACAAACCTGACATGGAAAAAGTACTCCTACAGTAAGACATCTATTCCTAAGAAAATAACTGTAGATACTTTATGCAGAAATATTTTGTGGTGAATACAGTGTCCATCACATCCTATACACATCAGCTGGATAAGTATCAACAATATTATTAATATTTTTTCCTATTGGATGCACCCGAAGCATGTCAGACTCTGTTATACTACGTATGCTACAAGCAAGACTTGGGGGAAAGTGTCTGGCCTAATGATCTTCAGGCCCAGCACAAGAGCAAATGAAAACAAGAAGATGAAGTTCATAAACAGAACCAGGAAAAGGATTCAGGTGTTTGGGCTTACAAAGTCATGTTTCATACATTAGGCCAGACTCACTTTCTTGCCCCTCCTTTAACCAGTGCTTTATCTCTCCTACTGGGTGTTCTTTCCCTATGTGCAAAAGATGATGGCTTGTAAGAGAAATGGCTGGAAAAGAAATAAAATCAAAAGGTAAAAGCTGTAATTTCTAGTGGAATATTTGATAGAAACACCAGAAGTGCATACACTAGAAGATCACATGGCACTGGGGAATCTGGATTTATAGGGTGGCTTGATGAGGTGGAGGGAGGTGATCTTTAAGCATGCCAGAATTGTGTTTACTACACAAACTATGCTCACACTTTTTCTTTGATTCTAGGGAAGTGCAAGCACCTCTCCTAGAAACTTCAAGGGACACAGAAGGGTCTTCACTAGTAAAAAAGGAGAGTACAAATGCCAATAGCAAGAGCAACTGAGGATGTTTCTCTGTTTCTGGAAGAACATGGAAATATTTTTATTTTTATTCAGTATTTTTCAAAGTTAGCACACTTTTTAAAAATACTTCACAAGGATTATTTTCAAAAGGTCAGAAAGTAGTATTAGTCAGGTTTGTTTTGCTGAGCATCCTTTCAAGTCTGTTTTTCTACAGTAAACAAAAACTTGAGAAATTTCTAATTGGCAATTAAATAGTTCTTGTGGACATCTCTATTTTTTTTTAAAAAAGGGCATTTAAAAAAAAAAAAAAAAACAACCCAAACTGATATGGGCATAAAGTTTCATCTTGGCTTACTAATGCTTTGGATAAATTTGTTCTCAGCATATTTCAAATGTGTTATTTGCAAATCTGTTTACCCAGTGCTCAGCTCTGGCTCTAGCTAAATGATATTCTTTACAAAAAATACTATTCATTATGTTTACCCCCAGCTATTCTTCATATGTTTTCTCTGCTGATACTCATTTGTTGGTGTTCACATTTTGTTACATTATGCAGTGAACGAACTTAAAAGCTTTAGCTGAACAAAGGTCTTGCAATTTGTGGGGGCCAGGTTCTTCACTGGAGAATCACGTGAGAGTGCTGTGAAATCTGGCCCCCAGAGGCAGAGTTGGAAGTCCTTGTTAGTAGATACCAATACCCAAATCTAAATAGAGTACATTTCACCTTTTACATTAACCTTCAGTCAGCCAGAGAACTGTATGTCAGCAGAACTCTCTTGCCTTTCCAGTTACCACTTTCTCCTGAATCCCAGAGTCTTCTTTGCACATCTTGTAACCTAAAGTAAAAGTTCTTGCCTCTTTCTCTGTCCCTCCTCACCTCTTCCCAAACACAGTTTCTCATCTTTAATCTATGTATCCCCACTCCTGCCTATCTTCATTACTGATCATATGACTGAACACTTTTAATTTATTCACCATGGATTAGTTTAACACCACTCCTTTCTGTAATTCACACCATATCCTGCCTGCCGTTGAATGTTGTTTAATTCTGTAAAGCTTTCTAAGTTACAAGCTGCTATGCACTGTGTCATCTTGTATTGGCATCTTGAATCTTTAATAAAGTTGTTCTCAAATAATGTTTCAATAAATTAAATGTACCTGCTGAGATGAGATTCTGCATATCAACATGATGAGCAATGGCATCTAATGGGACAGGAGATACAGACAAAGGAAAGGATAGAATAGCTTGGAGAGAAAGAAAAAGAACCTTCTCACTATTTCTTTGCATTCAGAGATTTCAGTTCTTTTTGTCTGAGATTTCTCCCACATAATTGTCAAATTTAATTATTTAGAATGCATATTCAATAATGCGCTAAGACAAATTCCCTGGGAAACTGTCAAACATGTAAAAAGGAGTGGTGAGAAAAGCCCTGGAGGGATTTTGTTTAGCATGGCTGCAATTCAGAAAAAGATGTGCACACCAATACTAAGGGCTTGGGTATTTACATATACATGTAGACATGCACATGTGTTTATATATGTATATATATTCATTTGCATACTGAACAAAAGCAGAATTCCTATGAAAAAATGAAAAATATGTGGATGAGAACTGTCCCTTTTTAGGCAGAAAAAAAGACCAGAATATTTAATTTCTGACTCTGTAAACTGATACAGACAGTTGATGGGAAGGTTAGTGCTCACTTATTTGTGATGAAGAGGTGAGGTTTGTTTTCTGTGAGGATTCATTATGCTATAGAAACTCAGATCCTTACAGGTCCACAGGCACCCAGTTAAAAATGAAAATAAATAAGAAACAGTTATGTTCACCTTCTTAAGAATCTGAGCCTGAGAACCATTTGTTGGTTTTTATGGACTTGGGAGCAGGTCCTATCTCAAAAATGCTGCAAATAGAGATGAGGTCAAGGTCTGCTGCTCAATGAAAGGAAGATAATGTGTTAAAGCATTAGTGCACTCAGCTCCCTGTCACCTTCCCTGTTTTCCCCAGGATGCTCCAGGATTCACAGCTGTGAACAAGCAGTTGAAATACTTGAGCACGGGGATCAGACAGAGTTAATCAGCTAGAGAAGGACAATGTCAGGACTGAAAAGAGCTGAGAAGTAGGAAAGTGGGTGCAGAACGGGCAGTTTAAATGAACAACTTTAGTTCGGATATTCCCACTGCCCATTGGTTCACTGTTCATGGATTATCACTGATTTACCTCAAAAAGGTGCAGGAGGGACAACACAGCAGAGCTGTGCTGAAAGGAGCAGTTGACATATCCTGAGTGACAGTGGGGGGAATCTCCTAGAAGCCAGCCAGGGAGAAGCACTCAGCTGAATGGCCTCAGAGGAGCAAGAAGGATGGAGGAAGTAGCAAAGGCTGTTCCTCATCTCTGTTCTACTTTCAGAGAACACAAAGAAAATGTTTCATGAAGAGGGATTTTCAAAGAGCAGAGCCCAATAAGTCAACCATGAGCTTTCCCTGCTCTGTCCCCTCCTCTTAAACTAATGAGATTTTCATCCACCCAGAGTTGTCAAGATGGATGGAGAAAGAAAGGACTAATGCAGACATAAATTTCATGTCTAAAAGCACTGTGAGATTTCAAAGTCCACAAGACATGGTGGAGCCTACTCATTAAGTGGCATGCTTAATTTTCCCCTTGATTTTATCCAATTACTTTAGGATGTCAGAGACTGATTACATTATCTTTGCTAGTCTTTTCTTTTGTCAGTGACATCTGGGGCTGCTCAGGCATGCTTTGTGCATGTGCATGAATGTGCACATGCAAGAGGTTGAGCTGTCTAGATTCTGTACATGTTGTTTTAAACAATATGTTGATAAAGCCTCAGGCTTTAGGAAAAATAAAGCTGAGAGAATCAGCATAGATAGTAATAGCTTCTGTAAATGGTGGTGATTTAGAGAGCAACCAGAAACTAAATCAGATACATTTAATTTTTTGCCACTATAAAATACTGTTCCTGGTCACTTGCTTTACTCAGGAGTACCCTGAAAACTAGAACTGGGGAGAAGTGATTAATATTATCCTTCCCAGGTGTTAAGTAAGTGTCTCCTGGGAACAATTTCTAATATTCAGAATGAAATTAGAGCCTGTGAGAGCTCTGCCACCCAATATTAAACTCTTCTACTCCCTAAATATTCCTTGATTTTACCATTACTGTGAATACATGAGAATGAATGGTAATTCCCATGAAAAGAAACCTTAATAGCATAATTAAAATTGCAATGCATCCTTTCTGTTCCAGT